CTTTTGTGATAAGTTCAGATTGTGGTTGTGCAGATGTGGGTTGAGGGATGCTTTTTTGCTTCTTCTTTCCAAATTGTTGAATACACTTTGCTCTCAGGATGTCATCTTCTTTTGTTCTTCTCACTGGAATCGTACCTTTTGGGCAACTTCCACTGTTCTACCATAACTGACTCATTCCCTTTGAATTTGAAGTCACTTTACTTTCTTCCTCAGCAATCAATCTTCCTTCTGGGTGCCAATTCGGTCTCATCTTCACTCATATGAACAAAAATAATAGACTTCAAAATTTTCAATCATAACAGAAATCTCAACATAATTAAAAAGGTCGATCGTTTTTTTACCTAAATTTTATGATTTCTGAGCTCTGGATGATCAAAAGCCGGTTGGTTTGAGATGAGAGCACAGTCGATTATATCTCCATCAGAGCTCTGTTTTTTAACAACACCAAATTTTTAATCTCAGCAGTCTTAAATTGGACCAATATATTGCTTAATTAATTGGAATGAGCAGGTAGAAATTAAAAACAGAGGGAGAAAATCAATTTTATATGGCTTGATCATACTGAAGCTGTCTTGACGACATGAAAATATCAGAAATTAAAATTAATCAGAAAGTAGGAATTGTTCACCTGGATGGACTTAACAGGTGGTTTATTCAACTTGTTCAAGTGTCTCTGAACCTCAAGCTTCTGTTTATAACTGCTATCGCCACCGCCGCCTGCGGTGGCGCCAACGGTGACTACGCCCCACCGATAGTCAAGTATGCAGAAAACAAGAAGCAGATCATCATCATTTTCTCTCCCCAAGTCTTCACATGTCCTAATTTTGCCGTCATTGAAGGGATGAGAACTGAGTATAAAGAAATAAAAGGTACCTTTATCAGAATTCGCAGGGTATTCGAGATTTTGAAGGCACCGAAATTTATACTATTATATATATATATATATATATATATATAGATCCGTGTGTGTGATGCCCGAGTGATTATTCTGGACCTCAAAACTATGATGCCCGAAGGTAATAGGAACGTTTATGTGGTCAAGCAGGGATATAATTTGGCAAGAACAAATGTGCTTCGTAGATATGATTGTTTTCCCACTGCCTCTAATAATGATTACAAGAAGTTATGGCAGGAGGTTTGGAGGCTTAAAGCTCCTCATAAAGTTAAAAATTTTGCCTGGAGATTGATTTCCAAAGCCCTACCTACCTTTGAGTATCTTACGAGGAGGAACTGTAGCATTACCAATATGTGTCTAATTTGCAAAAGGAGTGTAGAGTCCTTGGTTCTTATTATAAGAGGTCAACAGGGTCATTAATGACTTTTTTTCCTAATTTACTCCTACTTATAAATTACTCCTTCTGGTCCTTTTTATGAGATCCTATTAACTAAATTATGCAGTTTAAGAAAAATGTTAAAATTAGTTTAAAATAATAAATATGTAAAAATTAAACCTCCTTTTTTCAAGTATGTCCTTATTTAATGAGGGAGCGAATAAAGGAGAGAAATACTAGTAATAGAGAAATGATGAAAAAAGAATGAAATATGATTAAAAGATGAGAAGAGAGAATAAAAAAAATTTAATTATGGGTAAAATTGGTAAAAAAATTTTAATATTTAGACAATTCTTTAGGATCTTATAAAAAGAACCAAACCAATTCAAATTTTGGTTTCTTATGAATAGAACCTCGGGAATATTATTATAATATTTATTAGCAAACATTCATGTAAATCAAATTATTTAATAAGGGCATATTTGAAAAATTTTATAATTTTGGAGCATATTTAATAACATAACTGTCATTTCTTGGTATGTGTGAATTAGCAGCTCGGAATGTCTCCACTGTGCTGTCTCTCCCATACGCCTCCACTTAAGGAAAACAGTGTCGTTCCCTCATTCAGTGAAAGCATGGGCCCTTGTTTTAGTGAACACACCGTTGTTCAAGTATGCAGAAAACAAGAAGCAGATCATCATCATTTTCTCTCCCCAAGTCTTCACATGTCCTAATTTTGCCGTCATTGAAGGGATGAGAACTGAGTATAAAGAAAAAAAAGGTACCTTTATCAGAATTCGCAGGGTATTCGAGATTTTGAAGGCACCGAAATTTATACTATTATATATATATATATATATATATATATATATATATAGATCCGTGTGTGTGATGCCCGAGTGGATTATTCTGGACCTCAAAACTATGATGCCCGAAGGTAATAGGAACGTTTATGTGGTCAAGCAGGGATATAATTTGGCAAGAACAAATGTGCTTCGTAGATATGATTGTTTTCCCACTGCCTCTAATAATGATTACAAGAAGTTATGGCAGGAGGTTTGGAGGCTTAAAGCTCCTCATAAAGTTAAAATTTTGCCTGGAGATTGATTTCCAAAGCCCTACCTACCTTTGAGTATCTTACGAGGAGGAACTGTAGCATTACCAATATGTGTCTAATTTGCAAAAGGAGTGTAGAGTCCTTGGTTCTTATTATAAGAGGTCAACAGGGTCATTAATGACTTTTTTTCCTAATTTACTCCTACTTATAATTACTCCTTCTGGTCCTTTTTATGAGATCCTATAACTAAATTATGCAGTTTAAGAAAAATGTTAAAATTAGTTTAAAATAATAAATATGTAAAAATTAAACCTCCTTTTTTCAAGTATGTCCTTATTTAATGAGGGAGCGAATAAAGGAGAGAAATAATAGTAATAAGAGAAATGATGAAAAAGAATGAAATATGATTAAAAGATGAGAAGAAAGAATAAAAAAAAATTTAATTATGGTAAAATTGGTAAAAAAATTTTAATATTTAGACAATTCTTAGTAGGATCTTATAAAAAGAACCAAACCAATTCAAATTTTGGTTTCTTATGAATAGAACCTCGGGAATATTATTATAATATTTATTAGCAAACATTCATGTAAATCAAATTATTTAATAAGGGCATATTTGAAAAATTTTATAATTTTAGAGCATATTTAATAACATAACTGTCATTTCTTGGTATGTGTGAATTAGCAGCTCGGAATGTCTCCACTGTGCTGTCTCTCCCATACGCCTCCACTTAAGGAAAACAGTGTCGTTCCCTCATTCAGTGAAAGCATGGGCCCTTTGTTTTAGTGAACACACCGTTGTTTCCCTTCCTCCAGACCAGCTGAGTCTCCCAAACCTAAACCCATTTTACTTTTTTTTCTCTCCCTACAACCTGTTTTTTTTTTTCAAATTCAAACTCTTGTGTCCTCTTATGCAAGAAATTGGGTGCTTCTTCGTATCCTTCTTCTTCTTCTTTTTTATTTAAATTTTCATTGTTTTATACTGCTTCCAGTCCTAATTGTAAAAGCTAGTTGACTAATTTGAGGGGATTAAAAAAATAAGTTAAGTTAGTTATCTGTAATAACTCCGCCTATGTTGTATAGCCGTCCCAAGCCCGGATAAAGGAGGAGGGTTGTGTTAGGAGGCCCTCGACAGCCAACGTAAAACCCGTCGAATCTCATGAACATGGATCAACGAAGTAATTATGCTAATGCTAGGTCGTTGCCCAGATGTGACGCGCTGTATGGCTCGAGTACAGTGAGAAATGAGCTAGAGCCGCTGCATCGTCGCCCGGATGTAGTGTTAAATGAGCAAGGGCTACCGCACTCTCTTGGACAGAGGCGGCTAAAGAAGTTAGTTCATGAGACTGAGATTAGATTTGGCACTTGGAATATTGGGACGTTAAATGAGAAATCTATGGAAGTAGCAGGAGTTATGAGGGACAGAAGGATTAATATCTTATGCCTCCAAGAAACCAAATGGACTGGAGAAGCTGCCAAGGAACTTGGAGAGTATAAACTTTGGTACACAGGAAAGGTGAGCACAAGGAATGGGGTTGGTATCATCGCTGATGGGACATGGAAAAAGAACGTGGTAGAGGTTAAAAGGTTTGAGGACAGAATAATATCGTTAAGAGTAATTGTTGGAAAGGATACTATCAATATCATTAGTGCCTATGCACCTCAGGTTGGGGCAGAGACACACCTTAAAGATAAGTTTTGGGAAGATATGGAGGGCTTGGTTCAAAGCATACCACTCGAAGAAAATTTTTTTATCAGTGGTGAACTTAATGGACATGTTGGTAAAGAAGCAGGACAATTCAGCGGGGCCCATGGTGGTTTTGGTTTTGGGGAGCTTAATAGTGGAGGACAATCTATTCTCGATTTTTTCTCTTGCATACGATCTTAAGATTGTCAACACTTGTTTTAAGAAGTGAGAGGAGCATTTAATCACGTACAAAAGTGGTGTCTCAAAATCACAGATTGATTTCTTTTTGGTTAAGAATCCGGACAGAAGATTGTGTACTAATTGCAAAGTGATTCCAGGAGACGGGTGAGTGCCCAACATAGAGTACTTATCCTTGATGTATGTTTTAAGAGTACCAGGCAAAAGTACCATCAAGTGGCAAAACCCAGGATTAAGTGGTGGCAGTTAAAAGGAGAGAAGCGGGAGTTATTCAAAAGGACTCTTTTGAAGGAAGGGAATTGGGAGTTGCAGGGAAATGCAAACATGATGTGGGAAGAGATAGCTACAAGGGTTCGTTTGGTAGCTAAAGCAATTTTGGGAGAATCCAAAGGTCTTGGTCAAAGAGATAAGGAGACTTGGTGGTGGAATAAGAGTGTGCAAGAGAAAGTCAAATAGAAAAAAGTTTGTTTTAAGGCCATACACTTGTGCAATAGTGTAGAGAACCAGGAAAAGTATCAGTTGGCTAAAAAAGAGACAAAGAGAGCAGTGAGCGAAGCACGTACTAAAGCTTATTAAGGGTTTTTCAGGAGTTTAGGAACAAAGACGGGAGAAAACAAGCTGGCTGGTTAAAGTGGAGGAAAGCTACCGGAGTTATTTGCGATAAGAAGGTACCTGAGAAACTTAAAGGAAAATTTTATCGGACTGCTATAAGACCAGCTATGATTTATGGTAGTGAATGTTGGGCAATAAAGGGAAAACAAGAGCATAAAGTCGGAGTAGCAGAAATGAGGATGTTGAGATGGATGTGTGGTCATACAAGAAAAGATAGGATTCGAAATGAAAAGATCAAGACAAGAGTCGGTGTGGCACCTATCCAAGAGAAAATGGTTGAAAATCGCTTAAGATGGTTTGGACATGTGCAGAGAAGGCCTTTGGAAGCCCCGGTGAGGAGGGTGGATCAAACAAATGGAGTCCCATAAAAAGAGGCAGGGGAAGACCGAGAAGAACGCTGAAGAACGCTGAATGAGGTCATTGAATGAGACCTCCTAATCAATAACATATCTAAGGATTGGGTTGTTGACAGAGCACGATGGCGTCATGTGATCATGTAGCCGACCCCCCACCTAGTGGGATAAGGCTTGTTGTGTTGTTGTTGTAGTTATCTGTAATAAATAAGTATTATACGTCTTCCCTAAGGACCGGAGGTAGTACATATATATATTGTGGTGTTTTTTGGTGTCCAGTGCCTTTCTTTAATTCATTTGTGTTTTGGTAAAATAAAATCCTTTTGTGCACTGCAGGATGTGTTCACTGAAATGAATGGCTGAGATTTTACAGAATAAGGCAACGACGCCGTTTTCTTCAGGGGAGGCGAAGTGGAGAGACAACGCAATAGAGATATTCCAAACCGGTGAACTAGTTGTCTAGTTGATGACCCATTATAATAAGGGTGAAAAACAGTATTAAAGTATTAATATTTTCAGAAGTTCACTTTTAATTTGAGTAGTTTACTTGTAATAAATTGTATGAAGTTTGACTTTTAAAAATTACAGCATTAATAATAATTTTAATAAAAATATTTTAAAATGTAATATTTCTTTGGGTGCTCATCAATTAATGCGCAGTCAATACCAACAAGTGACAGGTCAGCAACGTTAATTGAAAAAAAGAGTGCGTCGGGGGGTTAGTTTGCCATTTATGAAAATTAATCACTCCATTGATTTCTCTTTATAGGACTAAAGGCAAATTCTCACACACCAACTATACTAAATTCTTTTATGTGACCTACTTCCATTTATGCCCACTTTATCAGCTGACCTTTAATAGGAAAGGCATCATTTATAGCAAGTCATAATTTCATACTCTCAATAGGAGCATATTAGAAAAAAGTATTAAATAATTGTCAAATTTTCTGATTTGTCTTATAAATAGAAAGAAATCACTCTCCAAAATGTTGTCCAAGAAATAGAAACTGAGTACAACCAATTTTAAGATACGTGAGGAACTTCTTGGATAAAGCTTCTAAATGTCATCTGCTATAAGCAAGTATAATGTGTTACAAATTAAACCAAGGTTCATCATAAATAATGTGCTAATGAAAAAGTGTAATAGACAAATATATATAGAAGCATTCAACATAAATATAGGACCAAAAGCAGTTCTTAAATGATTATTTAAAGAATGATAGGTAGGCTTCCGTGTCACCCTTCGCAGAACCATGACTTGCATATGACATTACCTAAAAAGATTAGAATTAGAATTAGAATTGCGAGTAAAATGGCCTTGTAATTAAGATGCATGCTGTAATACCTACTTTAATCACACCTTTGAACAACTAAGCCAGGTTTGCTCCTTTTTAACAAAAAAAAAAAACAGAATTCTTTCATTAATTATTTTGAAAACTTTTCCCAAACACGGGTATATATATAAATCCCACTTTATATAATGCAATCCCATTAACCTTTTGGTATACTTGTTCCCTTCCAGGTTTTGCGCAACTTAAGCCTAAGTTTTTTTTTTATTTTAAAACTAACATTCCAGCTTCTAAACAGATTTTATTTAGCTAAGTTAATTACTTAGCATAACGAACCATCTTTGTACTTATTAAATACCAAACCTTCATCTAATCACAATATTTTTAAAATCAGTACTTGCATACGTATATAAATTTATATGTATAAAATCCGATTACCATATATAAACTTCTTTTTCGGTTTTGTTTTCACTTGAGCAACTTTAACCTTAATCTAACATTTTCCAGGTGTAAGATAATAATCAAACCATACTTTTAATATCTCTAGACAACTTTAACAATCCAAAATAACTGCAAAACATTTTTAGGATCATTAGACAAAAACTGCAAACTGATTCCTAGTTTTCAAAGTTAGTCATTCTATTTAACCTCTTGTGATTAGCACTTGATCACATTTAAGCTCTTGAGATTTGCCTTATATACAATCAATTTGATTGTCCTCTAACACACATAACTTTTACTCCAGATCTGGAAATTTTGCAGATTTATAGCCATGTATTCAGATTCAAATTGATCATTCAAATTATCACACTCGTTGATCCATCTAATCTCCCTTAACAGCATCACAACACGCATAAGGAAAGGAGTTCAAGTTCTGCTCCCCATTTAGTCGCATTATCCACTAAACGAAAGAAGAAAAGAACATGCAACCCAACATACTCACATGCGATGAGATTTTTACTGTTATGGGTCTTGATTTTAATAGATTCTGAGCTAAAATTCAAACAACCTTCTTTCCCCTGTTTCGGCCAACCAAAAACAGAGCAACGAAATCCACATGCAAGCTAAAAATCATACTCCATTATCATCAAAAAACACTACTCTTTCCTCATCATTAAGTTCCGCACTTAACCAAGAGTTTCTCTCACTAGAACCCAAACTTCTTTCATCATTAACTCTTCGAACACTTAGCAAACCGAAGATAGAAGAGTAGAATGATGATCAGAGGATTCACCTCGTTCAGAAACTAAGCTGGGCATGCAAGGAAACGGCCAAATTGATGGAAAGAGGAGCAGATGGGTCTAATCAAATAAAAAAAAAAGGGTGAGAAATGATCCACAAGTTTTGTATTCACTTTCATCCTTTCAACTAATTTCTGAATATAAAATAAATCTAAAAATGAATCCATCATATTTTATATGGATTTTCCTTATCTATTAGTTCCTTTGACTCATAAAATAATTTTTCTAAAAGTTCAGGATCAAAAATCAATTTCTAGCTATTTTTTTAAAATTTTTTTTAAAAAAATAGCTCTTAATTTCAGAAATCAATTCTTAATTCATTTTAAGGATTTTATACCTGAATTAGCATCCTTGCCTCATAAAATAATTATTTTAAAATTTTTATATCAAATATAAATCTCTAACTTTTTTTTTAATTTTCAAGGAAATAGGTTTTTTTTAACTCTCAAAATTAAGTTTCAAATTGTTTATGCCACTTTTTGAGGAAATAAACTTTTTCATAAAATTTCTAAGTCCTTGAAATTAATGTTCAATAATTTTTCCCAAATTTTTTTAGGCTTTAAACAATTTTAATAAATTTCATTTCCTTGTTCTCATAAAATTTAAACATTCAAGACGTTACACATGCCAAAAACAACTTTACAACTATACTTTGTGACTGATCGAATAACTGACAATATCATTAGGAACTTGGGAGATGAAATACATTCACAATGATTAACACCCTGTATTGTGTAGTGCACACTTTGAGCATTCAAATAAAACACATGAAGAGATGATCACATTATAATTTATGATTTATCTATTTGATATAATTTATAACAAACAAAATTTCAATTATGGGAACATTAATATTTTTTATTGGCAGCAATTTTGAAATTGATATGAGCGTGCAAGGTCAGTGTTGACCACAAAAATCAAGCACAACACAAGCAGGCAGAGAGAAATAAACAATAAAGAAACATATGATTATTTGGCTCTAATATAAATTAATTTTAGGTTTTCAAAGTTCGTCACTTTGTGTCATTAGAGATGAGAAGCTCATCAGTATATTTGAAGCTTGAGGAGAAGTACACACAAACGGTAACAATATTCAGAAATTGCTGAGATTCAATCAGAATCATAAACATAATACTATAAAAGAAGTCAGATATGGACCTGATTAATCGATGTTAATTCGCCAACGGTATCCATGTGAGGTCTTCGCCATCAGAAGCTCACCTCCATCATTTGAGATTGCTATCCGAGGGTGATTTAGTTTCTGGCACTCAGTAGCAGAGAATGTTTGGAGGGAAGGGCAGAGCATGATACCTCTGTATACGAAATCTAATTGTGGTATCTCATATAATTTGAGAGATGTCAACTTGGGAAGAGTGACAGTAGGGTGAGGACGGTGGTTACGCAGAAGGACCATCAGGTCGCCACTACCAGTTGTAGGTTCCAATTCAGAATGATCCTCTTCAGCTCCAACGATTCCTTTCATCTTCGAACAAAAACGAACATCGATGGTGCGCAAGTTTTGTAGGTGTGCCAATAACTTGGGTGTCATCAGAGCCTTCATGCTGTTGCAACTCGAAATATTGAGATCTGTGAGATGAGAAAATAGGGTGGATTGATCCAAGAAATCAGCATATGGTGACACTAAATCTTTCAAGCCCTCCATATCCATGAGGTGTAGACTTCCAACAAGTTGGGAAGAGGAGCAAAAGGGACAATTACAACAACACAAGCACTCCAAATCTTTGCAACATCTAATATCCAACAGTTCAATTTTGAGTGGATTACTGTTGTAGCAATATGATAAAACACTGCATAGGGATCTATTACCTGTCCCTGGGCGGCAATTCTTGATAACCAACTTCTCAATGCCTCCTGGGAGTATTACTTTTTCATTTCCCAGGACCATATCCTCAATAAGTATCTTTTTCACGGAATATAGTCTACCATAAGAATGATGAATATAGTGCCGGCCAAGATCGTATGTTGTATCCCCTAAAGTTAATCGATAGCTTCTAATTACACGATCATGGGCCAGGAAGCTCACAAAGTTATTGAATACGTTAATGTCACGAAAACGGGCTACTATAACTTCCAACTTTTCCAAACCTTGTATACTTTGTCCTAGCGCATCCGTTGAGCATTGGGCCCAATCCACCTCAAGACACTCTAAATCGATCAATTTGGATAGGAGCGATGCTGACATTTTCAGCTTTTCTGCAGGGAGTAGATATAGGCATCTAAGATTGACCAATGATTCCAAGCCAGCAGGTGCTTCAGTGATGGCAGTAGAAGATAGATCCAATGATATTAACCGTTTCAATTTTCCTAGCGAAGGAATGCAACTCAATTTTGTACATCCAGAGAGTAATAATGCAATCAGATATTTCAAGTTGAACAACGATGCAGGCAAATGCTCAATCATAGTCTCAGACAAATCAAGTATCTTAAGAGCGGGCATGTTGTTGAAAAACTCATCTGAAATGTGGTTGAGTTTTACATTACAATTCAATAGCAACATCGAAAGTTGAGAACACTTAGGACATGTTCCATTTGGAATTGTTTGTATCTTGTTTCCTGTCAGAAAAACTTTTTGTAGATCTTCTTTCCATTGGTCATCACTTGGTATTTCTGTCAAATTCTTGTAAGCTTTTCCCATAATTTTACAAGTTTCTTCTGCAATACCAATAGCAAGGGCTCTAAGAAATTTGTTTATCATCCATCCATCACAATAATCCAACATGCTATGATTCTTTAATTTATACAAAATGTTATAACCTTCGTTGTACTGCACCCTCAATTTCTTTCTCTCATCTATGTTTTCATAAACAAATATTCTTATCAAACGATTAGCCTCATCGTCAAAAAGAATTTCATCGATACTTAAAGCACAATACAAGAAGAATCTTTGCAATTTGTTATTTAAGAAATCATAGCTAGATCTCAAAATTGGAAATACCCATTTGTCCACTTCATATTGCCCATTGTCCAAGTTTTGAAGACATTCCAACATATGTCTCCACTCTCCAGCTTCCGTTTCCCCTTTCATGCTTGTCGCGATTCTAACAATAGCTAGGGGAAAACGCTCACATGCTTGTGCCACATTCTGTGCAATATTTTCCACTTCTGAAGACAGTTCTTCACGGAAGGATCCCAAAAACTCATTAAACAAATCCCAACTCTCTTCTTCTTCATCATCATCTAGAGGCGCCACTTCTACTACCTTCTTACAACCCATACCTTGACACACATTCCATATACGAGTGGTCAAAATCAATTTAATTTGATTATCTGACATAGGAAATCCAACGTCCTTTAGAAAGAAATGATCCCAAACATCATCTAAAATAATAACACATTTGTTCAGCTCTTTGAATGCTTGAAATAATTTCCCAGCAATTCTTTTAACCTCAAACTCATCAGATATATCTAGATCAATTGATTTGGCTATCACTTTTTGCAAATGGGAGATGCTATTTTGTGATACAGTTACCCAAATAACTATAATGTCACTACTAGCTTCTTCCAAAATAAGCTTGTTATGTATATGGGTTGCCAAGGCTGTTTTTCCTGACCCTCCTATTCCCCAAATTCCAATTGCTGACACCTTGTCATCCATTATCCATTTCCATATATCTTGAATATTCTTTTGAAAACCCCCACCAATTAGATCTGTCGTAGGCAATATATAACCTTTGGAAGATCCTAGCAACAAGAATAGTAATGAATAATTTAAGTCAAGAGAGTAAGAAGAATATATAAAAAAATTAAATTAAATATATGGCATTCAAATTTTGAGTAGTCATATATAGACATACATACTCTATCATCGAAATTTGAAAATTTTCGAGGATTCAAAATGTAAGTCACCACAGAATTTAGGCAGCATTAAATATTTTTCTGCACTTGTCCCTCATCAAATAATCAAAAAAGTTATGGACAAGAGAGTGGCTAAGAGAAATATACAAGAGAAGATTACAATTGAATGGGAGTAATTTTTGGAAGTTATGAAGTTTATCAAAAAAATTTTGGAAGTTATGAAAACTTTGAAAAGTTTAAAAACTTCAACTAATTTTAATAAATTTTCATAAATGACATTTAAAATGAGCTGGACATATTTTTTTTATGCTGACAGACGTACCTTTTTCTAAATAATCACGTTTATTGGGTCCGTCAACTCGTGATCTTTTATTGCCTCGTTGGTTTTCATTCGCCCTATCGGAAACAGATGACCCAACTTGAATCATTTCCTGACGGTTAGCTTCAGCTGGGATTTGTCCTGCTTCATTGGACAATGCTATAATCTCTTAGACCGTCCAATAAGATTTTTTATTACAAAAACCAAAAAACAAAAAAAAAAATCCCCTGTGCATGTCCTATGAAAAACGCTACCAGAACCGAGGCAAGAGTTAAAAAAAAACTTTAGCTCTGTCCGAAAATTAAAAGGCGTATCTAATTAATTTAGTCTTCATTTAAACCTCTATATCACATATGATATCTTCAAAAATAATGGCAATGTGGGATAGAAATGCAACAAACATCAAATGTGATATCTTTTTTTTTTTTTTTAAAAACCTCTGTATGAATTAAAAAAGATAGGAGGCGAGGGAGTATATAATTAAGCATTTTAGCTAATTCATTAGAATTAAAATATGGTATTTAACTCATCAAATCTGTCTCAAATGGAAAATATCTTTCAAATTTATCCAAGTTAAATAAGATTGTAAAGGAAAGAGAAAAATGCAAAAGGTTATATTAAAATATTAATTACACGGATAAAATTGAACAAACTATTCTTTTAGAAATTGAGTTACTTTTCTTAATTATTAAGTTGATTTTAACACTAAATATAAAATTTATTAATTTTTTAAAATTATTTTTATAAATATTTTTTTAATTATAATCTTAACTATAATTAAGTAAAAGAGAAAAAAAGATATAAGAAAAATGATTATAATATTTTAAAAAAAAATATATCATATTTTTTTATAATTAACTAATTATTTATTTTTTTAATCTAATTAAATTAGTTAAATAGATATTAAAAAATTAATAAGAAGAGGAAGAGTACTGTAAATGAAAGGAGTACCTTCTGAAAACAAATCTTGGACATGCCCGAACGCCTCCTCGGTTTCATCCATGAATATGAGCTTTGATTCTGGTAGCACCTCCTGCGAATATCTTTCCACAGGAGTATTACACTTCACTTTTTCCTTTTTTCCTTCCTTCTTCACTCGCTCAACGTGTTGCCACACATCATCCCTTGGCCTTCACCTACGTTTTCCATTATTACTGTTCCTGCATATGCAATATATATATATATATGCCCTGAACCAGACGTAATAATTAAAATTGAAGCCATGCATACAGTTGCACAGTTTGGGTTTTGAGTTATCATCAATAGATCTAATCTACTCCGGTCAAAAAAAAAAAAAATAGATCTAATCTACATTCCTTCGTACGCATGCAATTTCATCGGGCAAAGTAATGAAGGGGTGAAGATTTCAGAGAGTGATCGATTCTAAGTGAAAAGTAAAGCATGAACAATCATGGAAAGGCAGAAACAGAAGTAACAAAACAAAGGAATATGAAAATGAGGTCACCTGATAATGATCAAAAGGAAAGGCAGAGGAAATTGAGAGAGGAAATTACTGAATGCTATTTCAAGCTGAGGATTGAAGCATGGCGGACAGTTGACTCCGGTGAGAAACAGTAGTTGAGTTAAGTCCGCAGAATAGAAATGTGATGATGAAGAAGAAGGACTCTGGGAGAAGAGTCAGTCTGAAATAATTACTGTGTATTGTACAGTCCAGCTGTATGACAGAGTGCTTTATCAGAATGGCGGATGAGAAAGAGAGAAAGGACAGATTCTTGTCTGATTGGCACATTCACTCCGTCGGCAGAAGCGGGAAACACCTTTTATTTAAAACCTATTCATATTTAAATCGGTTGTCGAGCTTCTTCTAAAGTTTAAACTAATTAATACCTCATCTATTTCTTATCACGAGACTAATTTGTGTACCAAATAAAAAAGGGTTAAGGTGCACCCAGCACCCCCATGTATTTAGCCAGGTGCATCCAGTGGCCTGAAGTAATTTGTGGTGCAAATTTGCCCTCAAAGTAATTAAATTAGTGCACCGGTATCCCATGCTAACATATCTGTTAGTTTGACAGTTAAATTGATGAGTCAGTACAAGTTTGACCAGAAAATCTGATGTGGCATGTCTAATAAGCAGGTGATGTGAAATTTCTTTCGGGGTTAAGGTGCATCCAGCACCTCCAAGTATTTTTTCAGGTGCACCCAGTGGCCTAAAGTAATTTATGGTGCAATTTTGCCCTCAAAGTAATTAAAATGGTGCACCGATATCCCATGCTAACAGATCTGTTACTTTGACTGTGAAATTGATAAGTCAGCACAAGTTTGACTAAAATAATCTGACCTAGCATGTCTAATAAGCAGGTGACATGACTTTTCTTGATAATTCCATTGTTTTGTCTGAATATTACTCCTCTGGTCTTATTTATAAGGTATTTCCAGCATGTTTCACACAGATCAAGGAAAACCCTAAATTTCATTAACTCTCATTTAAATTTTAATAACTTTCCAACTTTATCCCTATTTAATATACATTATACCTCATATAAACAAAGTCAATACAATAATAAATGAGGGTTAAATTTGTATATCCATACAAAAAATTTCTCTCAGTGCCTTATAAATAGGACCAAAAAATATGTTTTCTCTCTACTCTATAAATAGGACTAGAGGAGTATCTCTAAAAAAAACTTTCTTACTCTGAAAAAAATTCCAAGAGCCGAAGAGAGCATTTACTAAACAAAGAAAACAAAGCAATGACAAACAAAAAAAATTCCACATCACCTGCTTATTAGACATGCCAGGTCAGATTATTTTGGTCAAACTTGTGCTGACTCATCAATTTCACAGTCAAAGTAAGAGATCTGTTAGCATAGGATACCGGTGCACCATTTTAATTACTTTGAGGGCAAAATTGTACCATAAATTACTTTAGGCCACTGGGTGCACCTGGAAAAATACTTGGGGGTGCTGGATGCACCTTAACCCCAAAAAAATTCCACATCACCTGCTTATTAGACATGCCACGTCAGATTTTCTGGTCAAACTTGTGCTGACTCATCAATTTAACGGTCAAACTAACAGATCTGTTAGCATGGGATACCGGTGCACCAATTTAATTACTTTGAGGGCAAATTTGCACCACAAATTACTTCAGGCCACTGGGTGCACCTGGCTAAATACATGGAGGTGCTGGATGCACCTTAACCCAATAAAAAATCAGTTAAAATTAATTTTCTTAAATGTCACACCTATATCACAAAGCATCTACACCGAGGCATTCAACTTGCCAACTCACAATATAACAAAAAGAATATAATATCAGTTCACATAATCAAATTGAAAAGATGAAATCAAAGAGAACAAATTACCGAATCTTACTCCTTTGTACTTAAATATAAAACTAAGTATGAAAAGAAGTCAAGCCTGTTAAAAAGCATCTACACCGAGGCAATCAAATTTTGCATTTAAATGTATGACCTTAGTTTTTTTTTATATTTATTTTTTTTTTAGACTAAATTATCTGATATATAAATTCATATATAATCTAATATTATATAAAAATATTTTTAAAAAATTGTCACATTTATTAACATTATATGATCTATTTAAATTTCTTACATTAAATATTTAAAAGAAAATGATAAAAATGAATTAAAAATTATTAAATTTTAAATCATGTTTGCTAACAATAGTTTATTTAGTGTTAATAATATTAAATTTATAAATGATGTTCCCGTAATTTTTAATTTCTTTTTTTATTATTTTTTCAATATTCAATAGAAAGGTACTACAAGTCATGAATTGAAACAGTAGTGTTGCAGGCTTTAGGGATTTCCAGAAGGGTACTCAATGATTGTGTTTATATAAACTCTTCCAAGTATTTTAACCTAAACCAAAAACTAATTTTATCTGTTTATTTCATATTTCATAAATTACTTTATATTTTTAAAAGCTGCGTTTACAAATATTAGTTGCGATTCTAAACATGTTTAGAGGCTTATTTGAAATGTATTAAAAACAGTTTTTTAATTATAATTTATAAATATATATGTCAAAAGAATTTTATTTTAATTTACATGAAAATACCTCGGCTAAGTGATTATGGGACATTGTACTAGTATACATGTGACGATGCAGAGCGTCCAGCGTCCTCCAGCTGTATTACATAATGCTTTACCATTTGGGAAAATTTTTTAGCACGGCAAAAGTGACTTTACTAGGGACCACGCGATTTTTGAAATTATACGGTAATGCCAAAGCATCAAAATAAAAATATATATGTTTTGATGGTAAATTATCAAAATATTATTTATTTATATTTTATACATATATATATATGCATTTTAAAATGTAGCGATTAAAAAAAATATAAGTGTATATATAAAAATTTATAACTTCCAATTTATATTTAGTTCTTTGTTTATTGCTTACCAGAGGTGGGAATACAGGCTGGTCCGACTCTACAAGCCCAACCCTATAGGACTGATGGGTTTAAAAGGACCGACCCTATAGGGTCAAAATTTCAAAGATACCCTAATTTGCTAGGTCCGGCTCTTAAGCTAACGGGCTCAGGACCGGTCCGCAGACTTTCGGCCTGTTTTAAAAAAAATACTATTTTTCATGTTTCTTATATTTTTTTATCAAAAAAAAAAATAAACTAATGAAATTATTAATAAAAGACATAAATATTAATAAAATTAAGTCACAAATACAAAACATCATATATAAATATCCATCAATATCCAAAAACATCTAAAACATTCATTAACAAAATAACAAAATTCAAAAGTTTTATCTATAGTACAAATGTGCAATAAACAAATACTATCATTAATCTTTTGAAACTTTATTATAACTATAATAAATTACTCTTCTTAATAAGTATGTTTTTTTTCGTAACAAAAATATCAAGTTTTTCTTCTTTATAAGAATTTTATTTTATGTTTTTTTTCGTCTAGCTATTATTTTACTTTAGTTTGAGAAACATTGTTGTTGAAACTTATAAATTTCTAATTAAATTATAGAGTCACAAGTTATATAAGTATAAAAATACTCTCCTATCAAATATATATAATTTTAAAATATCAACACATATAATGTAAATCAAATCATTATTAAAGTCCAAATTAACCTATTTTTTAAGAATTTTATTGAACAAATTATTGTCTCTAAAACTAAATAAATCAAACCAATTCGTGAAAATTAATTTTAAAATGATAATAATAACTAAATATTTGAAATATAATTAACAATATAAAAAATTAATAATATTAGAATTACATAAAAAAATTAAAAAAATTATAAAAAGACCTAAACTGGCCGGTTCGTTTTAGCCCTCGGTCCTGCAAGGCCAACCCTATAGAGCCTATTTTTCATTTGAGGAAAAAAACTTTAAACCCGACCCCTATAATTTTTAGGTCCAAACAAGCCGAGCTGACGAGCTCAGTACGTTTCCAGCTTTATGCTTACTACAATGTAATCATGAAATTTTCGGGGTGAACAGAAATTAAGTTATTTATCAGTTCCTTTAATGAAATTCTGCTTTTTTTTTTTGTGAGAAAAAGGGGCCAAGCCCAAACCAAGTACAGACAATTAGCCTAATCTTCTAAGGCCAGTTCCGTCTAGATCATCTCTCAGCAGACCGATTAATTCCCTGGGGGGGTGATTCCAGATTTTCCGTCTTCCTTCCAAATTCAAGCTCATCCGTGCTAATCTATCAGCACATCTGTTTCCTTCCCTGTAAGTATGTAGCCACCTGATACTCATTTCTTCCGTCCTCAGCTCCGCAATTTTCCGTGATAAGGAGTAGCATCCGGATATCTCTGTTCCTGCAGAAAGCTTGTCAATAATTGTAGCTGCGTCGCATTCAACTTCCACCTTTTTAAAGCCCATTTCTCTACATAGTTTCAAACCTTCAAAAATTCCCCAAACCTCAGCGGTTTTACTATCACATGGAGGAAGTTTCTTTGCGAAACCTGCCAGCCATTCCCCACAGTCTCCCCTGATGGCTCCTCCGCACCCTACCTGTCCGTTCTCCATGACCATCCCATCTGTGTTGATCTTGCACCATCCAAGCTGTGGTGTGATCCATTTGACTATCAGAGGTTCGTTCTGTTCTCTCTCCATTTTTTCTCCATTCCATTTCTTGCTACAGTCTTTTAGAAATTTCCGGATTATCTCCCCTGTTTCTCTTGGTGGTTGAAAATTGGCGTTATGAACCTATAAATTCCTCCATTTCCACAGGTGCCAGCAGCTACACGCGAACAGCTCTGGCCAATTCTGTTCCTCCTCCTTCTGACTTCTACTTGTGATGTTCCTGTACAGCCAATCCTTCCTCTCCCACTTGAAGAAATTCTGCCTTCAATGATCCGGCACAATTTGTCTCCAGGTCGCAGTTGCAAGTGGACAATCCCTTAGAGCATGTAATAAGTCCTCTTCACACTCATGACAGATAGTGCATAAAGTTGCTTCGCCCTTCCAGGTACCGATTAATTTCCTTGTAAGGATTCTGTTATGCAATACGAGCCACATGAACACTTTGACTCTTTCAGGAACTTTAATCTTCCAAATCACCCTCCAACGATGTCCTTCCCTCTCCTCTGATCCTCCTCTCACGAGTTTATATGCACTTGCAGTTGAGAAACCCCCATTTCCTTGTGGTTTCCATCTGATTCCATCTTCCTCTCCTTCCCTTAAGGGAGGTATCATGTCTCTGATATGCTGCAGAACCGATTGTGGAACAAGGTTCTCTAACGCCTCCAAATTCCAAATTCCATCTTCGTTTATCAAGTCCTTAACTTTCAGGTTCTTATCTATTCCTGTGTTACTTCCTGCAAAGGAGATGAGTTTGGGCTCTCTAGGAATCCAATTATCTATCCAAACCCGTGTTGAGGCTCCATTCTTGATCTCACTCTCCACATTATTTTGAAAGATGTCACTTAATTTGCTCATTTCTTTCCATAGGCGTGAGTCCCCTACTTTAACTTCAGGCTTGTTGTTCTCTCCTATTCCGTACTTACCCCGCAATACTCTTACCCACAAGTCTTGTGGATTTTGTTTCATCCTCCATAGAAGCTTGATTAGAAAAGCATCATTCATTCCTTTTAAGTCCTTTAGACCTATTCCTCCATTGTTCTTATGTTTGCAAAGAGTTTTCCACGCTACAGCATGCCAATTACGTTCTTCTCCTTGCTCACCCCAAATGAACTGACGCTGCATTCTCTCAATTTCTTCTATCACCCCACTCGGTAACCTGTCATGCTGCATTGGGTAGCTTGCCATTGAGCTTGTGGTTGACTTGACTAGTGTCATCCTTCCTGCCAATGATAGACTCGATGCTTTCCAGCCTTGTAGTCGCTGTCTTATCCTATTTATTATCTCCCTGTATTTTTCTTTTCTTCTTCTTGGGTGCACAATGTCAGCTCCAAGGTATCTTCCAAGTTCATCTACCTGCTTGTACCCGCTCACCTTGCTAATTGCTCTTCTGGTTTGTTGAGTAACATTAGGAGAGAAAAATATATGCATTTTTTCACTGCTCACCCAGTGCCCAGACATGTCACCAAAATCCTGCAGACATTTTGTTATAATCTTAATTTGTTCAATGTTAGCTTCTACAAAAAGAACTAAATCGTCAGCAAACATCATATGGGAAATATAAGGGCCTTGTTGGCCTGCTCTCATTCCTTTCCATTTTTTCTCTCTCACTCTATCCTGTATGAGGTGTGTGAGTTTTTTCATTCCGAGCACAAACAGATAGGGGGATATAGGGTCCCCTTGTCGCAGTCCCCTAGAGGTTTTAAACTCTTCAAGCTTTTCTCCATGCCATAGGATTTTAGTGGAAGTTGTCTCGACACAACCCATAATCCTCCTGATCATCTCATGTGCGCACTCCATCTCCTCCAGCACTTTATTTATATACTTCCAATTAATTCGGTCATATGCCTTTTTAAGGTCAACTTTTATGGCCATATAGCCCTTTTTCCCCCTTTTCCTTTTCATTGAGTGGATCAGCTCCTGTACCACAATTATGTTGTCATGGATGTTCCTGCCCGGTACAAAACTCACCTGAAAGGGTGATACTACCATTGGCATAATACTCTTGAGTCTCTGAACTAGGATTTTGGACACACATTTATACACCACATTGCATAAGGAGATTGGTCTCAACTGGTTGACTCTCTCTGGTTTATCAACCTTCGGGATTAGCGTGATAAGTGTTTGATTCACCTCTATAAGTCTCTCCGGACTATCCCAAAAGTCTTTAACAGCTTTGCACACACTTTCTCCTACAATCTCCCACTACTTGTGGAAGAAGGCTGCAGGATACCCGTCCTCTCCTGGGGCTTTGAGTGCACCTATCGAGTACATGGACTTTCGGATTTCTTCATTAGTAACCTCTCTCACCATATCCCTCCACTCCTCCTGTCGGATTTTTGTCCAGTTGTGAGTAGTTACATGCCAGATCCTTTCTTCTTCCTCTTCAGTAAACAAATGTTGGAAGAATCTGTTCACCAAATTTCCTAGTTCCTGTTTTCCTTCAACCCAATTGTTATCCTCATCTTTGAGCATAGTTACCCTATTCCTCCTTCTTCTAATCTTTGTTTTGGTGTGATAGAAGGCAGTATTTCTATCTCCATCCCTTAGCCAGTTGGTTCTAGCTTTTTGAAACCAAAAAATTTCTTCTTGACCCAGGATTTCATTTAACTCCTCTTGCAGTTCAGTCTCTAATCTATCTAGGTATGGATTGTTTTTTTGTTGGTTGCTCCTCTGAATCCCTGCAATCCGCTTCAAGATTTTCTTCTTTTTCCTTGTGATATGCCCGAAGGTCATCTGATTCCAATGTTTCAGTTCAGATTCAAGATCATTCAACTCGTCCTGGATCGCTTTCTGCCTTGTCCAATTCTCTTTCAACATATCCTTGAACCCTCTATGTGTGAGCCAAGCAGCCTCGAACCGGAAAGGCCTACTACTTTTCTAGTTATATTCTTCGTACAATGTAATTAGGAGTGGGTGGTGATTAGAGTTTACACAAGGTCCCACCTTAACTACAGTTTCTCCAAACAAGTGTCTCCACTCCACATTACAAAGAGCCCTGTCAAGCCTTTTATACAATCTTGATGCATACTGTACCATGGGGCCTTTCCAGGTGTATTTGGGTCCCTCTGATCCCAGGTCAATCAGTCTGCACCTGTTGATGTTTATGCTGAATCTTCTGCACTTATTTTCATTTATTTTTCCTTCCCCTCTTTGTTCTTCCTCCCCTGTGATGTCATTAAAATCTCCTGCCACAAGCCACGGCATATTCATTGTCAAGGAGATTCTATGCAATTCCAACCACATATCCCTCCTTTCTCTTTCCCTAGGACTTGCATAAACCGCTGTAAAGATCCACTGGTGGGTTCCAATTCCTTGCACTTCACCATGTAGAAACTGTTTGTGTGACATAATCACTCTGAACTTTATGTCATCACTATCCCAGAGCACCCAAATTCCTCCAGACATACCGTTTGCTTCCACTACTTCCTGAAATTTAAAGTTCATTCTTTTTATTGCCTTTTGTGCATTTTCTCCACTACATCTTGTCTCAATCAACACAACCATATCCGGCTTATATCTCCGTTTTAATTCTTTGACGACATTTCCGAATTCTCTTCCGGCTGCCCCTCTTGCATTCCAAACAATAATCATTAAAGATTATAATATCAAAACAGACACAGGTTAATGGTGAACTTGGTTGTTTACATATTGTCCTCCTTGTCCATCCTGGATCATCTTATAAAGTAGCTCCTCTTGTTCCCTTTGGCCAAGAACATTTTCCACCCTGAGTAATTCCAATATTTCAGGCCTTGTCTAATCATCCGGTGGTTTATTTTCTTCAACTATCATCGTTTCACCCTCCTCATCCGGTAGTTTTTCCAATAAGCCTCCTGTTATCTCTTCTTCTTCTGGAGGCCCATTCTGTTTATCCATTAGCTCACTGCCCACCTCATTTAAATTGACGTCCTTAGATCCAGTACCATGGTCCAACTCCTCTCTAAGTTCTTCTGTCGGCCCATTAACAATAGCTTCTTTTTGGCCCAAATGGCCTAGCTCCTGTTCCACCCTAATTTTGTTCTCTCCAGAAGTCACGTGTGCTTCCCCTATTTTCTCTTTTTTCTCTCTCCTGGTGGTAGCACTCTTCTTTACCTCCTCTATTTTCTCTTTTCCTGCTTTACCCGTTCTCCTACCTTCTGCCGATCTAGACCTCTCTCTACTAGTACCTGCTTGCTTTTTCTGTTTAATGAGTTTTTCTTGCTCTCCTTTTTTTCTCCCTTGGTTATTTGATATTTCACTTAGCGGTCTTCTCTCTACCACCTCTGTCTCTCTCTTCTCCTCTGTACTTTCTTCTGTTTCTAGGACGGCATATCTGGAGGAGGTGGAGATTTTCTGTTCGATTCTGCTAGAAGTCCTTTTCACTTCGTTCGAGGGTCCTTCTCTGTTCATCAGCCGTCTTCCCCTTCTAGGTTCCTGTGCAACCATCCAATCACTGTAATTGTTTCCTTTTCCTCCGCCGAGCGTACTTTTCTGGTGATTGTTCCCAGATTCTGATCTCCCTTCTTCCTCTCCTCTCCTCCCTTCCTTCTGGGCTTGCTGGATCTTATTTGGGCAGTGATCAACATCATGTCCGAATCTACCACAACTGAAACAAATGATTTGTAGTCCTTCATACTCAATTTTATGGCTTTTTCCATCCACTGTGTAAGCTGGCAGCAAAGGTGCATTCAGATCAACCTCTACACACATCCTAGCATACATTGTTCTAGCTTTTGTCAGGGTCATTTCGTCCACTCTGATTGCCGTACCAATCTTATTCCCCAGGTTGTAGAAGAATTTCCTATCATAGTAATCTGCTGGTAGCCCTGGAAGTCTAACCCATACTGCAACTTTTTGAATCTTCTCATTCCATGGGTTGAAGTTCCTCTTCCAAGTCTGAATCGTAAGATAATGGTTCTGTATTATCCACGGTCCCCCTTCCAATGCGAAAAAGTAGTCTTCCCTCTCCTGGAAAGTGGCTATCATATACCCATTGCCAATCACAGATAGATCCACTGCTCCTATTTTGTCCCACATGAGTTGCACTTTCCTTCTAAGTTGCATGAAGCCTGTCGTGCCCCCAAGGAGTTTAACTATCAATGAGTTCTGCCAGTGCTTTTCCAGTCTTCGTTTTTCTTCTTCTGAGAATTCTATGTTAACCCCTCGTTCTGTTTCAGTAACTGTTACTCCTTCTCCAAGTTCTTTGGGGTCCCCAAAAATCAGATTTCCATCCCATGTTTCTCGTTGTTGTGTTTCTTTTTCCCCTGCTTTCTCTTTCTGTTGCCTTGGTTTTAATGCTTCTCTATATGTTAACGCAGGTTGCTGTACAGGAGCTATCCGGATACCTTCTTTACTCATCCAATCCTCCTCCCTGGGTATCATTGAGTTTTCCCCAGTGAAAGTTCCTTCTTTCCTTTGGACTTTTTCTCTTCCACCATCATTGCTTTCTTTCTTCTCTGGAGACTGTGTTAAGTTATCCCTAATTTCCCCTTTCTCTGTTAGGCTCGAAATGTTGCTAAGTTTCTCTTTCTCAGCCCCCTGAACCTCCATTGCACGGTCAGGCAGTTGAGTTCTCTGTGGGTTCTCACTCGGAATCATGAAAGCTCTCAGGAAACTCTCTCTCTACTCTTTTAAATTCTGCTTTTATTAGAATGATTGATGAGAAATGACATATTGTTGTCTGATTGACCCATTGACTCCGTTGGCGTATTCGTTTTTCCCTGTAATACTATCACCATCTCTTTTTAACCATGAGTTAGTAAATAAATTGATCGTTGAATTTACAGCCTTCTATAAACTAATTAATAAATCAATACTACAAAATTAGGGGAAAGAATTAAAAGAAATACTCCTCCAGTTCTTAACACAATATTTAATTATTGAGTTAATTCTGATCCTAAATATAAGACCTAATTCTCATATATATCTTTTTTTTCTAAATTATTCCTATTGAAATTCCTTTAGCCATAATCATGTAAGAGATGGAAGGAAAATATTAAAGAATATGATTATGATGTTTTAGAAAAATACGTTATATTTTTTATAATTAACTAAGTTATATAATTTTTTAATCTAATTAAATTAGTTAAATATGTCTTATATTAAGTATTATAGAAGTAGCATTTAGTGAAAATAATATTAAAATAATTATTATTTAGAAAAACCTAAAGTCAATATATAAATATATAAATGTACAAGTACTAAATTTTTCCCCAGTCTCTTTTATTTGTTTTGTAATACACTCCTCTGTACACCTAGATTGAGCAAATTTATTAATTATGGTTGAAGGCTTACGTTAAAAAAAAAAAGGTGGAATTTTTAAAACTTTTCATCAAACCTTGAATTATGACTTATCATTTTATTTTATTTTTTTAAAGATTTAAGCTATAAAAATAAGACTCAGAGTCATTCTTCATACACTTGATAGCAACTTCTATTTATCATAACTGTACAGATGTTACTTTTGAAAAGTCTATTTTTCTATTCTAGTTCTAATAAATCATGCTTTTGTAAATTCTGATTCATTCATGCCGTAGACATATTACCAATATATACATACTAACTCCTCAGCTAGGCTAACTATCCTTAATCACTCCTCCTTATAGATGTACATATAGCCCTATAAGTGAAATTTAGATAACTTTTTTTTTTAAAAAAAAAGTATAAACATCACATATCATAAAAGAAAAGGGAAAACATAGCACAAAATGTATTTAAGATTAATTAATTAACTAAGCAATAAGTTCTTCTCTCCTTCCGCCTTAGCTATGCTTCTACTAGCTCCTCTTTCCCCTTAGCTGAACTAGGCCCTTGGGTTAAATAGAAAGGAGGGATGAGATTTAAAGAATCCTAGCAATAATAATTATATTTCATATATTATGCATGATATAAAACTGAGCATGTAAAACAAGCCATGAACTGAACTAAATAACGAACTGAGGCATATTCGCTATCATTTAACTAAATCTCATATAATTGTAGGGCCAGCCTTGCAAGGTTGGCTCGGCCTGTATTCCCAGTACTATGTATGCACATGGCCATGGCAATAATTGGTAAGACAATTTACATGTTTTCATGCTTTACTATAGTATTATGGCACAAGTAGACATACAACCAAACAAAACATAAAAAATAACGATTAAAATTACCTTTCACTTACTTTCCTATTTTGGTACCTTGCTTTGGATTTCTCCTTTGTAAGCTAAGATGCCAATTAAATCCTAACATTACAAGTACATATATAAAGTAAGTTAAAACTAAGATTATGATTAACCCATAGCCATCTATTTCTATCTAAAGCCCCCCACTCAGGCATACTTCACTCCCTTAATTCGATTGCTCATCTCATACGAAAATTCTTATGTTTAATCTCTATGTTTACAAGGGTCTCCGAAACCTCTCCTTTTCTTATGTTTCGTTGATCAAAAATAAAACAAGAAACAAAAGTCATAAATTTAATTCTTACAAACAAAACACAACTTGCATCTGTTTCCCACATATCATAGCAGCAAATACATATATGTCAAATATTTAAGATCTTAATTCAACATCAAGAACCATCCAAATTGATTATTCAATACTTGGGAGCATCAATAACTATTTTAATATCACTTTTTTCACGTTTGAATAACATGTTCAAATAACTTTCACAAAAGCTGAACCATCTAATAATAATAACAATCAGTAACTTTGATTTTCGAATCTGAATCATCATTTTGGTATTCCAAACACAGCAACTGATAAACCTCTATTTTGCCTTATATCTTTTTAACGGTTTCTATTAACTAAAATAAGTTAATTTGCATTTATTATGATTAATTTGAATTAGAGATTGATTTTATTAAAAATTTAAAATAGAGCTTAAAAGGGTATTTCTTCTCATATTCTTATCTCTGCTCTTAAATATTTGATTTTGAGGCTTCATGACATTATCTTGTCCCGATTTATTTTGCAGGTTTTTAAAAAAATATATAGATTTTATATTATTTCTTTATTATTTTTAGTACGTATATGCATTTTAACATGTAGCAATAACAAAAATATAAGTGTATATATAAAAAATTTATAACTCCCAATTTATATTATAATTCCTAGTCCAAAAATTTATGAACGTTTATAAGTAAATTTACACACATATATAAGCATTTTAGCAAATAATAATAGCAAAATGTATTAGTGTACGTATAAAAATTTTCAAGAGTTGAAACAAAAATTTACAATTATTCATAGATGAATTTATAAATATATATAAATATTTCAACAACTAATAATAATAAAATAACAAATGTGGATGGAAAGATATTTTGTTCGTTTACTATTAAAAATATAATTTTACTTCAGTTTTTTTGTTACTATTTACTGTAATTACGATGTTTCTGGGGTGAACAGAATTAAGTCATTAATCAGTTCCTTAACGAAATCCCCCCCCCCCCTCTTTTTTGGGTAGAACGAAATTCTCCCTTTATTAGAATGATTGATCAGAAAGGACGGTTTGTTGTCTGATTGATCAGAAAGGACGGTTTGTTGTCTGTTTGACCCATTGGCTCCGTTGGCGTGTTCGTCTTTCCACGTAATACCATTACCATCTGTTTCTAACCATGAGTTAATAAATAAAA